TAGGTGTTTCCACTTCAAAATAACAGCACTTACAGTTGACCGCGGCAGCTCTAGCAGGGCAGACATTTGACTAACTAATTGTTGGAAAGGTGGCATCCTATGACGGTGCCATGTTGGAAGTCACTGAGCTCTTCAGTAAGGCCATTGTACTGCCAATGTTTGTCTATGGAGATTGCATGGCTGAGTGCAGTATTTTATACACCTGTCAGCAATGGGTGTGGCTGAAATAGCCAAATCCACTAATTTGAAGGGCTGTCCACTTACTTTTGTACAGTGGGGGAAAAAAAGTATTTAGTCAGCCACCAATTGTGCAAGTTCTCCCACTTAAAAAGATGAGAGAGGCCTGTAATTTTCATCATAGGTACACGTCAACCATGACAGACAAAATGAGGGAAAAAAATCCAGAAAATCACATTGTAGGATTATGGAAAATAAGTATTTGGTCAATAACAAAAGTTTCTCAATACTTTGTTATATACCCTTTGTTGGCAATGACACAGGTCAAACGTTTTCTGTAAGTCTTCACAAGGTTTTCACACACTGTTGCTGGTATTTTGGCCCATTCCTCCATGCAGATCTCCTCTAGAGCAGTGATGTTTTGGGGCTGTCGCTGGGCAACACAGACTTTCAACTCCCTCCAAAGATTTTCTATGGGGTTGAGATCTGGAAACTGGCTTAGGCCACTCCAGGACCTTGAAATGCTTCCTACAAAGCCACTCCTTCATTTCCCGGGCGGTGTGTTTGGGATCATTGTCATGCTGAAAGACCCAGCCACGTTTCATCTTCAATGCCCTTGCTGATGGAAGGAGGTTTTCACTCAAAATCTCACGATACATGGCCCCATTCATTCTTGCCTTTACACGGATCAGTCGTCCTGGTCCCTTTGCAGAAAAACAGCCCCAAAGCATGATGTTTCCACCCCCATGCTTCACAGTAGGTATGGTGTTCTTTGGATGCAACTCAGCATTCTTTGTCCTCCAAACACAACGAGTTGAGTTTTTACCAAAAAGTTATATTTTGGTTTCATCTGACCATATGACATTCTCCTAATCCTCTTCTGGATCATCCAAATGCACTCTAGCAAACTTCAGACGGGCCTGGACATGTATTGGCTTAAGCAGGGGGACACGTCTGGCACTGCAGGATTTGAGTCCCTGGCGGCGTAGTGTGTTACTGATGGTAGGCTTTGTTACTTTGGTCCCAGCTCTCTGCAGGTCATTCACTAGGTGAACCCCCCCGTGTGGTTCTGGGATTTTTGCTCACCGTTCTTGTGATCATTTTGACCCCACGGGGTGAGATCTTGCGTGGAGCCCCAGATCGAGGGAGATTATCAGTGGTCTTGTATGTCTTCCATTTCCTAATAATTGCTCCCACAGTTGATTTCTTCAAACCAAGCTGCTTACCTTTTGCAGATTCAGTCTTCCCAGCCTGGTGCAGGTCTACAATTTTGTTTCTGGTGTCCTTTGACAGCTCTTTGGTCTTGGTCATAGCGGAGTTTGGAGTGTGACTGTTTGAGGTTGTGGACAGGTGTCTTTTATACTGATAACAAGTTCAAACAGGTGCCATTAATACAGGTAACGAGTGGAGGACAGAGGAGCCTCTTAAAGAAGTTGTTACAGGTCTGTGGGAGCCAGAAATCTTGCTTGTTTGTAGGTGACCAAATACTTATTTTCCACCATAATTTGCAAATAAATTCATTAAAAATCCTACAATATGATTTTCTGGAAAAAAAATCTCAATTTGTCTGTCATAGTTGACGTGTACCTATGATGAAAATTACAGGCGTCTCTCATCTTTTTAAGTGGGAGAACTTGCACAATTGGTGGCTGACTAAATACTTTTTTCCCCCTCTGTATATATAGTGTATTTGATATTTCCAAAAGCCTTTGATCTCAACTCATGAATACTGCATTTATTCAAAGAACACACTGAGATACACACTCCAAAAGAGCTTGGATTGGGCTTCTGTCGCTCGCTTTCTCTTTCTGTCTTTTCTCAATTCTCAAAATGTAGCTCCAGGCCACTGACAGAAAGTTGAAGTGACTAAAATGGACAAGTTTGGACAACCTGAATAAAACAACACACAGTTGTTTCCCAGGTGCCAGTTTGTTAATGTATTCAGCAACGCTCGACATCGACTTAAGCTTGCTTAAGCAGAACCTGACAAAAACCACTCATCAAAAGTTGTGTACAAGACAAATCTTAAAGCTTTTTTGGCTTGACTTGCCCGTGCGCGCGCGCGCACACACACACACACACACACACACACACACACACACACACACACACACACACACACACACACTTATCAGCAGTCTAGCTGTAGCAGCTAAACAGACTGAGAAGCTAACATGGACGGTCAATATATCCTCATGAAACACTGCTTTGTGTTTATCCTTTATCTGAAATACAGCATTTTACATTGTCTCAGAATATTGATATTTGATCTCTCTTGGCTTTGTGTAGCTCTGGTGGGAACCGCTAATTTAATCTCTGCGCTTAGGAAAGTAAAGTTATGGAAAGAGAATGACTCAACAGTAACAAGTCAACAGGTGTTGAATAAAGCAGGAGATTTAATTTTGTAGAAGAACCCACACACCGCTTGGGCTCTAAATAAAACATTTTCATTGGTAGCACTGGTGCTCCTGATTTAGAAGAGTTAGGAGCACCAGAAATATATTTTTTGCATTGATTGAGATATAGCCTACATTGGCCTATATGACTTCTACTTACTTTTGGAAGCACATCTCCTGAATAAAATACCACTTTTCCTTTCTTTCTGTGCCACCAAATGGTTTCTTATACTGGTAAAGTTACCAGGCTGCACAATATTGGCCAAAACATGTAATGGCGACTTTTCAACCAAATAATGCAATTTGACTTAAGATATAGTTCAAAACACTTGGGTGAACTGTTGGAATCATTAGAAATAAAATGATTATTCTAATTCTATGGTTGGTGTTTGGCATAACAAAAAAAAAAAAAAGCCAGGTAGGATTTATGACAGGTTAGAAACCAAAGTGTTAGCTAGTGTTTCCCAGGGGACCCTAATATCATTTGAATCGATTATCTATTTAGACAAAGATTTTAGAATAGGCTACCTGATTCAGAACATGTCGTCACAGATGGAACATTTATTCGTTTTTTAAATCTTTATTTTAACGGGGGAGACATTGAGAACTAGGTCTCTTTTTTCCAAATGCGCCCTGTATAATTCAATATAAATATACACATTATACACAAGTCCCCAATTAATACTTGAAATTGCTCGAACAGCACCAGAACATCAAGATTAAATGTATTTTCAATTTTGTTCCAGCAATACGGTGCATTGAAACTAAAAGCAAATTTACTTAGCTCGGTGGAGACCCTAGGAACCTGAAGTTAACCAATCCTGTGGTTGGTTAAATATGAATACACGTGACAGGTTAGGCAACTCGGGTGTCTATACTTCAACAGCAAAGTTGGATAAGACTAAAGTTATGAAGTATGGTCTTGTAAACTTAAAGGGAGTAACCTTTTGATACAGGATGCAGTGATGAGTATCAAAATTGTTGCCTGTAACAAAATGAAGGGCACTATGGTAGATGACATCCAAAGGTTTAAGAGTAGTAGCAGCTGCACTTTGATAAAGAATATCGCCATAATCAAGAACAGATAAAAAGGTTGACTGAATAATCTGCTTCCTACTGCTTAGAGAAAGGAACGATCTGTTTCTGTACAAAAGCCTACTTTAAATTTCTTAACCAGCTCATCTATATGTCTTTTTAAACGTCAAATTCATATCAATCCAAATGCCTAAGTATTTCCAGTGCATTCGGAAAATATTCAGACCCCTTCCCTTTTTCCACATTTTGTTACGTTACAGCCTTATTCTAAAATGTATTAAATAAAATGTTTCCCTCATCAATATCCCATAAAGGCAAAGCGAAAACAGGTTTTCAGAAATGTTTGCAAATGTATAAAACATTTAAAACAGATACCTTACTTACATAAGTATTCAGACCCTTTGCTATGAGACTCGAAATTGAGCTCAGGTGCATCCTGTTTCCATTGATCATCCTTGAGATGTTTCTACAACTTAATTGGAGTCAACCTGTGGTAAATTCAATTGATTGGAAATGACTTGGAAAGGCACACACCTGTCTATATAAGGTCCCACAGTTGACAGTGCATGTCAGAGCAAAAACCAAGCCATGAGGTTGAAGGAATTGTCTGTAGAGCTCAGAGACAGGATTGTGTCGAGGCACAGATCTGGGGAAGGGTACCAAAACATTTCTGCAGCATTGAAGGTCCCCAAGAACACAGTGGCCTCCTCCATTCTTAAATGGAAGAAGTTTGGAACCACCAAGACTCTTCCTAGAGCTGGCTGCCCGGCCAAACTGAGCAATCGGGGAAGAAGGGCCTTGGTCTGGGATATACACCTGCCAAAGGTGCTTCAACAAAGTACTGAGTAAAGGGTCTGAATACTTATGTATTTTTTAATTTTTTAATACATTTGCAAACATTTCTAAAAACCTGTTTTTGCTTTGTCATTATGAGGTATTATGTGTAGACTGATGAGGGGAAAAATACAATTTAATCAATTTTAGAATAAGTCTGTAACGTAAAAACATATGGAAAAAGTAAATGGGTCTGAATACTTTCTGAATGCAGTGTAAGTGAAAACACCCTTAGTCGCACTGGTGCTCCCAAAATTCAAAATATTTTGTTGCATATGCGACCAAATTAGAGCCCTGCACACTGCTATTTACAGTACATGCTCTCAAATTTCATTTGCGACAACGTGGGCGAACCTTTGTTTCAACATTCAACACCTGTCTGCTGCTACTTTCTTCTGAAAATTACGACAACAAAACTGTCAATATTACTTTGGCTTAGCTCTTCAAAAGATCAATATAAGTCTAGACAAATCCAAATGATTCCATACACCAGACAGAAAGCCATTGGCTATCGTGGTTTTACTGTTTTGTTCATATCGCTGTCATTGTCTCTCCCAGGTGAAGTTGATGTTCCAGAGGATGTACGGGGAGGTGGTCAGTCTGTCTTCACCTGGAGAGGAGGCCAGACGAAGGTTCTTCACTGACCTGCTACTGGTACAGGCTGCTAGAGCGCCGCCCCACAGGAGACACAAAGGTACTATGAATTCATACAAGCAATCACACAGACACACAGGATATTACACACACACACAAGTGTAATACTGTATCATATTCTAACCAAGCTTTTACAATGCCGTCCTGACACCGTTCTCAGTGGGGTGCTGAGAGAAAAGAGTACAAGTCATTTTCATCTTAGCTTCATCTCGTCTTTCTGTTTTCTCTCTCCTAACCTAAAGTAGCAGGCGTAAAAGAAACACCTGAGCGGCATTTCTTTCTTTCTGGTCCTGACGATGAAAAAATAAAAACTATCATGGGAGGTTCTCTTCTGCACTGTTGAACCAATCCAGTAAATGTGGAGGAGGAGTTAAGATGGAGTGTCGCCTTGTTAACGTCTAAAAGCTGAAGTCTCATCACAGGCTTTCTCCATTTCCCCTGAAAACCGGATGCATTCGGTTGTTAGCAACCCCGCAGATGGTGCCTCTCGCCTGACACACATATTGCTCAAACACAGTAACCACCATTGAATCATTGCTAGATTTTTGCTTCACTTGAAAAATATAAATTCCTAGATAATGAAATGTGGGTGGACTAGTAGGAACGGCACATCGTGACTTCCATAGCTTTTAGTAGAACTCCACGGCTCTCTCCCCAACTCTCTCCTCATCTCCCCCTACGATATTCTCCTTTTGAACTCTCTCTCCTCCACTCCCTCTCCCCCCCCCATACTCTCCCCTCCATTTCCCCCTACCATTCACCTTCCTATTCTCTTCCCCAACCTCCCTTTCCATCTGTTCCTTCTCAGTGTGAGAGAGTGGTCCACCGGGGCTTCCATGATGGCACTCAGCTTTCAAATGGAAATACAGCAAGCAACGCCGTTTGCAGAATCCTCATTGATGCGAGGCAGGGGACCCACACATACACGCACGTATTCTGACACACACACACACGGCTAGTATAGTCTTATCGATGCGAGGCAGGGGTCCTCACTCTCTCCTCTCTTTGGGGGTTCGCCCTGAATAAAACAGCAGCCTTACTTCCATAAGGGGCTGTTTGTAGGAGTGGGGAGTTCAGGGGGAGGCTGGGGAGATGCATGTCGGAGAGAGGGAGCCCGCTATAAACCCAGCACTGTTACCTATGGTTACACTCACGGACGATGATGCTAATGTGAAGCAGGGCTAACAATGTTGGAAGGCACCTGGGGTTAGTGGGCCCAAAGAGGAGAAGCAAAGGGAGAGGAAGCACAGTATGTAACAAGTAGACTATGCTGACTCCCCAACTAGGGCTGTGGTGGTCATTACATTTTGTCAGTCAGTGATTGTCATGCAAATAACTGCAGGTCTCACGGTAATTGACTGTTAATTAACATAAACACGTTTAGCATCTTTGGCTTCCTGTAGATTTTATAGCCTTCACCTTCACAATAAATCCATTATTTATTTTAGACAGGTCTAAAGAAGCATGATATGAAGAAACTGTAGCCTATTTCAGAAGAACAGAATATTCTGAGTCATCCTTATGTTAGGCTTTGATCTGGCTATGCGGGCTACACTAGTTAATTTAGCAGACAAGATTTGCTTAGAATTCCGTGGCATTATTTTATAGTATGAAGAATACAATTGAACATAGCTGAATAAAATAGAAAGGATACTTTCTCCATACAATTTGAGGGAGTGAGTGGTAAACAAATAAACTGGTCCTCCTATATGCTTAATTTAGTTATTTATGCAACGTTAGTTGTGATACAAACGGTAGGCTATATATTTTGATTTCTAATACATTTTAAGGTTGCATGATGCGACTCTAATGATGATTTGAAAAAAGTTGTATCAAAGGCAAGCGCTCTGCTCTGTTTCTTGCGCAGGCTGCACACACTTCATCAGTCTCTCATTCACAATTTGACAAGTACTTGTTAATATTCTCACCCATCAGACTATTCTCAATTGAATCTGGTCTTTACATATAACCTACTAATATACAGTTGAAGTCTGAAGTTTACATACACCTTAGCGAAATACATTTAAACTCAGTTTTTCACAATTCCTGACATTTAATCCTAGTAAGAATTCCCTGTTTTAGGTCAGTTAGGATCACCACTTTATTTTAAGAATGTGAAATGTCCGAATAATTTTAGAGAATTATTTATTTCAGCTTTTATTTCTTTCATCACATTCCCAGTGGGTCAGAAGTTTACATACACTCAATTAGTATTTGGTAGCATTGCCTTTAAATTGTTTCACTTGGGTCAAACGTTTCGGGTAACTCTCCTTCCACAAGCTTCCCACAATAAGTTGGGTGAATTTTGTCCCATTCCTTCTGACAGAGCTGGTGTAACTGAGTCAGGTTTGTAGGCCTCCTTGCTCGCACACGCTTTTTCAGTTCTGCCCACAAATGTTCTATAGGATTGAGGTCAGGGCTTTGTGATGGCCACTCCAATACCTTGACTTTGTTGTCCTTAAGCCATTTTGCCACAACTTTGGAAGGATGCTTGGGGTCATTGTCCATTTGGAAGGCCCATTTGTGACCAAGCTTTAACTTAATTTTCTGGAATTTTCCAAGCTGTTTAAAGGCACAGTCAACTTAGTGTATGTAAACTTCTGACCCACTGGAATTGTGATACAGTGAATTATAAGTGAAATAATCTGTCTGTAAACAATTGTTGGAAATTGTCCTAACCGACTTGCCAAAACTATAGTTTGTTAACAACCAATTTGTGGAGTGTTTAAAAAAACGAGTTTGAATGACTCCAACTTAAGTGTATGTAAACTTCCGACTTCAACTGTATTTGTGAAATTATTTTTGATTTAGAATGGCCAACAAAAAAACATGTCATCCATACCCTGCACTCGAATAGTGAATGGAGGTTACGTGTGGTTATGTTTTTAAAAATTCCAGGTAGGCTATATCATTGTAAAGCGGATTAATGTGCTTAATTTTAAGAATTTAGCAATAAATGTAGCAGCACAAGAAAGCTGGGATCCTCTTTTAAATAGTGGGCAGTCAAAATTCTGTTTTCACACGCTATTGCGCAATGACTGAGCTTATAAGAACACGTTTCACTAGGCTCTCTAGGCTATGGGCTCTCCAACCGTGTTCCAGAGGTCTTGGGCCACTTTAGTTAGTTGTGATACAAACCTTATCAAAACATATAGGCCTATGGGCGCTGTTTCTTGCTAGACTCCACACGCTGGGCATCATTCACAAGTGATAATATTATCACCAATCAGACTATTCTCAATGTAATTTTGTCTTTACATATACTAAATAATGTTTGTTAAATTAGTTTAGAATTTGCCATTATTCTGCACCTGTCGGAACAGGGGCAGTGTAAAAAAAAGACATGTCATCCGTATGCACTTGAATGCTTTTCCCATGGTTCATTTTAATGCAAGCCAGGTAGGCTACTCTGGTTGTAAAGCGAAGCAATGTGCTTAATATTAGGAAAGTTGAGAAATAAATATAAAAACTCAGCAAAAAAAGAAATGTCCTCTCACTGTCAACTGCGTTTATTTTCAGCACACTTAACATGTGTCAATATTTGTGTGAACCTAACAAGATTCAACAACTGAGACATAAACTGAACAAGTTCCACAGACATGTGACTAACAGAAATTGAATAATGTGTCCCTGAACAAAGGGGGGGGGGGGGGGTCAAAATCAAAAGTAACAGTCAGTATCTGGTGTGGCCACCAGCTGCATTAAGTACTGCAGTGCATCTCCTCATGGAGGGTCATGTCAGGATGAGCCTGCAGGAAGGGTACCACATGAGGGAGGAGGATGTCTTCCCTGTAACGCACAGCGTTGTGATTGCCTGCAATGACAAGAAGCTCAGTCCGATGATGCTGTGACACACCGCCCCAGACCATGACGGACCCTCCACCTCCAAATCAATCCCGCTCCAGAGTACAGGCCTCTGTGTAACGCTCATTCCTTTGACGATAAACGCGAATCCAACCGTCACCCCTGGTGAGACAAAACCGCGACTCGTCAGTGAAGAGCACTTTTTGCCAGTCCTGTCTGGTCCAGCGATGGTGGGTTTGTGCCCATAGGTGACGTTGTTGCCAGTGATGTCTGGTGAGGACCTGCCTTACAACAGGCCTACAAGCCCTCAGTCCAGCCTCTCTCAGCCTATTGCGGACAGTCTGAGCACTGATGGAGGGATTGTGCGTTTTTGGTGTAACTCGGGCAGTTGTTGCTGCCATCCTGTACCTGTCCCTCAGGTGTGATGTTCGGATGTACCGATCCTGTGCAGCTGTTGTTACACGTGGTCTGCCACTGCGAGGACGATCAGCTGTCCGTCCTGTCTCCCTGTAGCGCTGTCTTAGGCGTCTCACAGTATGGACATTGCAATTTATTGCCCTGGCCACATCTGCAGTCCTCATGCCTCCTTGCAGCATGCCTAAGGCATGTTCATGCAGGGACCCTGGGCATCTTTCTTTTGGTGTTTTTCAGAGTCAGTAGAAAGGCCTCTTTAGTGTCCTAAGTGTGACCTTAATTGCCTACCGTCTATAAGCTGTTAGTGTCTTAACGACCGTTCCACAGGTGCATGTTCATTATTTGTTTATGGTTCATTGAACAAGCATGGGAAACAGTGTATAAACCCTTTACGATTAAGATCTGTGAAGTTATTTGGATTTTTACTAATTATCTTTGAAAGACAGGGTCCTGAAAAAGGGACATTTCTTTTTTTTGCTGAGTTTAGTACTCCTAGCCTACAGAAAGCTGTTGGTATCCTCCTCTTTTTAATAGAGGCCATCAAAACTCTGTTTTCTCACGCAATTGCATAGCCAATAGCAGTGGTCACCAACCTTTTTAAGTCAAGATCACTGAGTCGAATGCAAGCCGAGATCTACCACTCAGATTAAAAAAAAAACATGACTTGAAAAATGTAAGCCTATGTAATATTAACCAATTAAAAACAGTTTTGTAGCATTGAGGTTTGTGCAGTAGGCTATAGGCCCAATACAGTATCACTGCATTTGCCGATTTCTTATGCTTGAAATGCCCTGCCAATGTTCTTCTCAGACCATATTTCCAAATTTAAGGTATATGATGATCACACTGGTAATAGATCATCTGTTGTATTCCTTGTGAGGCACAATTGAGTGAGCTTAATAATTCATTAAAAAAATTGAATAATAATCCTGGCCTGCATCTGATGGTCAGTCTGAGGGGAGGGAGGGAGCAGCGGTGAGGCTGCCTCTCACCCGACTCACCGTTCCTCCTCTCTCCCTCCGCTGAGAAAAGGGGACAGTCTTCCAGCTGATGGACTCAAGTCGCACTGCATTAGTTCTGTTTCATATACCAAATCATGTTGTTACTCCTATGACCAGAGAAATTGAAATATTCCTTGATATTAAAAGAGACAAGCCGCTACAACGCAAGCTTATCGACGCTTTGCTGTACTCACATTGTATGGCTTATAAAAGTGTTGAACAAAGTGTTGACAGTGCTGAATAACTACTTAAACATGAACTTACTCATAAAAACAGCAGCTCTTTGCTGTGTTCGTTGAGTCTCTCTCTAGTCATGGTTTTAAAAGTTTTGACATCTCACAGTATCAACTTTGCTGTGCATTTGAGGCTTCTTTTTATAGTCTATGGCTCGAGGAAACTGTGCAGACACAATGATCTGAGCTATCTGATTGGCCAGCGGTAGGCCTATAGGTGCACTTGATTTGCTCTCTGGGCCTGCCGGGTAGGTGGAGTTCTACCTTCAGACACATAAAATGGTTCAAAATGGGAACACTTGTCTTCCCGGCGCTAGGGCTGCTGAATCAAGTGCACCTACCGCCAACAGCGCAAAAAAATAATTAAAATAATTAAAAAGGAACGCAAGCCATTATTGTTATTTTTTACAGAAATGTTTGGTGATTGACTAGGAATGCCTTGGAGATCGACCAGTCAATCTTGATTGACCGGTTGGTGACCACTGGCCTATAGAAATGTTGCGCAACACTCATGTCACTCCATGCATCAACCAGCTATGAGGAGCTGTCTCTCGCTGGCAACCGGTGATCCGCTCAAACTCTAAATGCCAGGGCTCTCATGAAGTGTTTGATTTGATTTTTGATTGCATTTGCGAGTGATTAGAAGGACGATCGAGTACCAGCCATTAGCGACTGGCCGTTAGCAAGTTTGGTAGGCTACTAATGACCATCAGCGCCAGATCTAATTGTAGATCTAACTGGATAGGTATTTTAATTAAGCGAGAGGCTGGATCAAGTGTATTATATAAAGCAAATACAATATTGCTGTCCAATCCTTCTCCCTCTTCCTGTCCCAATAATTTTAGGTCGACAGGAGTGCCCAGGGGGTTAGGGGTTGATTTGGAATTCAGCAACTGCGTCACTCTCTTTAGGCCAGAGAGTGGGGGTTCAGGGTTTTTGTTCATGGGTTGATGATGTGTTTAGAAAGAAGTCTGCTGCGTTTTTCCCCCCGCCTGAGTGGGTTGTCTCAAGGATCAACCTAGAGTAGAAGATTCTGAGGAGAACACACACTCTAACACACACACACACACACACACACACACACACACACACACACACACACACACACACACTCTCAACTGTACTCACATCGCTTGCTTTTTGTAATGCTGAGGTCCTACCAGTAGTGGAGGCTTCAGGCCGCAGACCGCTCTTCCCTGAGAAGCAGTGTAGCCCAGAAGATCATGAGGAGAACGCTCTCAAACACATACACTCACCTACTCTATCCTATCCTCTTATCTCTCCAGCCCTGCGGAGTGAGGAGGTGCTTCCGGTAGTGGAGGTCCCTGGCCCCAGGATTCTCTCCCCCAAGGAACAGCATCGTCTGGCCGACCAGGAGGAGAACACTCTGAGAGAACTGCGTCTGTTCCTCAGGGACGTCACTAAGCGCCTCGCCATAGACAAACGCTTCAACATCTTCAGCAAACCTGTCGACATTGAGGAGGTGGGTAACAACACAGAGATTGCTCGATGATGTAGACACTAGATATCACAGTATACCTCCCTAGATACAGTAATGATAAAAAGGGAATGTAGTAACCTAGGAAGGGTGCGTCATGAATTTAGTCCTCCTGTCCCCTGGCCCTCTCACCTCTGTCTGAGTATTGATTCTAGTGAATTGACACTGCTGGACTGATTCCTCTTAACTGATTTTGATTTAAATGGAGTGAAGCGCACCAGTTTAATTTGACTTTCTCCCTCCCCTCCCTCTCAGGTGTCAGACTACCTGGAGGTGATTATTCAGCCTATGGATCTATCTACGGTCATGACCAAGATCGACACCCATAAATACCTGACGGCCAAGGACTTCCTGGTAGACATAGACCTCATCTGCAACAATGCCCTGGAATACAACCCTGACAAGGAGCCCTCAGGTACACATGGAGGGACTTTTAGGAGGGGGGGTTCTACTAATAATAATAATAATATGCCATTTAGTAGACGCTTTTATCCAAAGCGACTTAGTCATGCGTGCATAAATTTTTACGTATGGGTGGTCCCGGGGATCGAACCCACTACCCTGGCGTTACAAGCGCCATGCTCTACCAATTGAGCTACAGAGGACCACGTTACTAAGCTAACATATGGAATCGTGTTAAGATGGTCATACCAAGGATCATTTAGCTATTTGATTTTGAATTTTATGACCCCTTAAGGTATCTTAAAAATTATTTGATGAAACATTGAATTTGGTCTTAATGCTATTAGCCCATAGAAACGCATTGAATAACAGCTTCATACATGGACAAATGGATAGTCCCCCAAAAAATCAAAAGGAAGTTTGTTCTGAAGTGTCTGTCCTATATCTGAGAGATATAAGAAAGATCAGGAAACAATATATACTGAACAAAAATATAAATGCAACATGCAACAATTTCAACGATTTTACTGAGTTCCAGTCACTTGAATTAAATTAATTAGGCCCTAATCTATGGATTTCACATGCCTGGGCAGGAGCGTAGCAATGGGAGCGTAGCATTGGCAGCCAGGCCTACCCACTGGGGATCCAGGCCCAGCCAATCAGAATGAGTTTTTCCCCACAAAAGAGCTTTATTACAGACAGAAATACTTCTCAGTTTCATCAGCTGTCCGGGTGGCTGGTCTCAGACGATCCTGCAGGTGAAGAAGCCGGATGTGGAGGTCCTGGGCTGGCGTGGTTACACGTGGTCTGCGGTTGTGAGGCTGGTTGGATATACTGCCAAATTCTCTAAAATGACGTTGGAGGCAGCTTATGTTATAGAAATGAACATTAAATTCTCTGGCAACAGCTCTGGTGGATATTCCTGCAGTCAGCATGCCAATTGCACGCTCCCTCAAAACTTGAGACATTGTGTGACACAACTGCACATTTTAGAGTGACCTCTTATTGTCCCCAGCACAAGGTGCACCTGTGTAATGATCATGCTGTTTAATCAGCTTCTTGATATGCCACACCTGTCAGGTGGATGGATTATCTTGGCAAAGGAGAAATGTTCACTACCAGGGATGTAAAGAAATTTGTGCACAACATTTGAAATAAGCTTTTTGTGCGTATGGGAAAATTCTGGTATCTTTTATTTCAGCTCATGAAATATGGGACCAACACTTTACATGTTGCATTTATATTTTTGTTCAGTGTGTATGTATATGTGTGTGTGTGTGTGTGTGTGTATATATACAGTGCCTTGCAAAAGTATTCATCCCCCTTGGCGGTTATCCTATTTTGTTGCATTACAACCTGTAATTGAAATGGATTTTTATTTGGATTTCATGTAATTGACATACACAAAATAGTCAAAATTGGTGAAGTGAAATGAAAAAAATAAGTTGTTTCAAAAAGTTCTAAAAAATAAATAACGTTAAAGTGGTGCGGCATATGTATTCACCCCCTTTGCTATGAAGCCCCTAAATAAGATCTGGTGCAACCAATTACCTTCAGAAGTCACATAATTAGTTAGATTGCACACAGGTGGACTTTATTTAAGTGTCACATGATCTCAGTATATATACACCTGTTCTGAAAGGCCCCAGAGTCTGCAACACCACTAAGCAAGAGGCACCATGTAGACCAAGGAGCTCTCCAAACAGGTCAGGGACAAATATGTGGAGAAGTACAGATCAGGGTTGGGTTATAAAAAAATATCAGAAACTTTGAACATCCCACGGAGCACCATTAAATCCATTATTACAAAATTGAAAGAATATGGCACCACAACAAACCTGCGAAGAGAGGGCCGCCCACCAAAACTCACGGACCAGGCAAGGAGGGCATTAATCAGAGAGGCAACAAAGAGACCAAAGATAACCCTGAAGGAGCTGCAAAGCTCCACAGCGGAGATTGGAGTATCTGTCCATAGGACCACTTTAAGCCGTACACTCCACAGAGCTGGGCTTTACAGAAGAGTGGCCAGGAAAAAGCCATTGCTTAAAGCAAAAAATAAGCAAACACGTTTGGTATTCGCCAAAAGGCATGTGGGAGACTCCCCAAACATATGGAAGAAGGTACTCTGGTCAGATGAGACAAAAATTTAGCTTTTTGGCCATCAAGGAAAACTCTGACTGGCGCAAATCCAACACCTCTCATCACCCCGAGAACACCATCCTGTGGGGATATTTTTCATCGGCAGGGACTGGGAAACTTGTCAGAATTGAAGGAATGATGGATGGTGCTAAATATAGGGAAATTCTTGAGAGATTTGAGACTGGGATGGAGATTCACCTTCCAGCAGGACAATGACCCTAAGCATACTGCTATAGCGACACTCACATGGTTTAAGGGGAAACGTTTAAATGTCAAAGCCCAGACCTCAATCCAATTGAGAATCTGTGGTATGACTTAAAGATTGCTGTACACCAGCGGAACCCAGTAGTTTTGCCTTGAAGAATGGGCAAAAATCCCAGTGACACACACACACAGTACTAGTCAAATGTTTGGACACACCTACTCATTCCATGGTTTTTCTTTATTTTTACTATTTTCTACATTGTAGAATAATAGTGAAGACATCAAAACTATGAAATAACATATGGAATCATGTAGTAACCAAAGAAGTGTTAAACAAATCCAAATATATTTGAGATTCTTCAAATAGTCACACTTTGCCTTGATGACAGCTTTGCACACTCTTGGCATTCTCTCATCCAGCTTCACCTGGAATGCTTTTCCAACAGTCTTGAAGGAGTTCCCACATATGCTGAGCACTTTTTGGCTGCTTTTCCTTCACTCTGCGGTCCGACTCATCCCAAACCATCTCAATTGGGTTGAGGTCGGGGGATTGTGGAGGCCAGGTCATCTGATGCAGCACTCATCACTCTCCTTCTTGGTAAAATAGCCCTTACACAGCCTGGAGGTGTGTTGGGTCATTGTCCTGTTGAGAAACAAATAGTCCCACTAAGCCCAAACCAGATGGGATGGTGTATCGCTGCAGAATGCTGTGGTAGCCATGCTGGTTAAGTGTGCCTTGAATTCTAAATAAATCACAGACAGTGTCACCAGCCAAGCACCCCCACACCATAACACCTCCTCCTCCATGCTTTACGGTGGGAAATACGCATGCGGAGATCATCCGTTTACCCACACCGCGTCTCACAAAGCCACAGCGGTTGGAACCAAAAATCTCCAATTTGGACTCTAGACCAAAGGACAAATTTCTACCGGTCTAATGTCCATTGCTCGTGTTTCTTGGCACAAGCAAGTCTCCTCTTCTTATTGGTGTCCTTTAGTAGTGGTTTCTTTGCAGCAATTCAACCATGAAGGCCTGATTCACACAGTCTCCTCTGAACAGTTGATGTTTGGATGTGTCTGTTACTTCAACTCTGAGAAGCATTTATTTGGCTCAAATTAGCAAAATGAAACGACAGTCCATTACTTTAAGACATGAAGGTCAGTCAATCTGGAAAATGTCAAGAACTTTGAATGTTTCTTCAAGTGCAGTCGCAAAAACCATCAATCGCTATGATGAAACTGGCTCTAATGAGGACCGCCACAAGAAGGGAAGACCCAGAGTTACTTCTGCTGCAGAGGATAAGTTAGAGCAATTAACTGCACCTCAGATTGCACCCCAAATAAATGCTTCACAGAGTTCAAGTAAATCAATTAAAGTAATCAGTAAGTTATAGTATGTTAACATCAATAAGTATATTCCCAGCTAGAATCCAACAGTCCCTCCTTTTTGAATTGTAACTCCATACTGTTCAACGTTATATAAACTTTGAAATTACTTATAAATGTACAGAAAAGAAAACATGATTCATATTCTCAGTTGATTTGTATGTTTACACTTCCGAGATGTATGGCCTCTGACTATGTAATATGCTTCCATGGCATAAGGACCTGGCCTCAAATGTATAGTCAAACTATGCGTGCTCTTACTCCCCCCCCCCCCCCGAGTCCAGAACCTTTGGTACTCCTCCACACATCTCCCGGTCTTCTTGTCAGTAGGGAGTATACATTCTTGCAACTTGCCTCAGTCCATTGTTAATTACCCAGACTCGTACACAAACAGCTATTTGAGAATTACCGACCCATTCCTGCTCAAGTGAATATCATGATGCAAAACATAGAGAGAATACAATAATATAAATCAGTGAAGCTACAACATATTGAGAGAATATAATGATATAAAACAGTGAAGCTATAAGACAGTGTTATAGGGCAATAGTTCACAATCTATAGTATTAGCTCTATCATATGACTCCTAACTCACCCTTATGGAGATCATTCCATCTAACCCTTAACACGTTAATCACTACTGCTAGGCCACTTATATAGTCATAAACATACTAAAACGTGTTCAAGTCAATTAGACAGTTTCCAACATTCCCTCATCTCGAACAATAATCACTCACATGTTCCACACCACCTAGAATACATATTGACTTCAACAGGGAAGAGAGAGAATACATGTTTAATAATTTCACCACACCCTTGATGAGAATGAGATTGGGGCAAAGACCGTCCATCCAATCTGTTCAATGCCAATGGGATGCTAGATCTTCTCTGGGCTCCATGAAAATTAGTTTCCTGTTGGATATCCCTCACTTTTACCCAGTCTTCCCCCATCGGCTTCAGAGTATCAGAGACAGCTCACTCGCACCCTCTCCTTAATCCTCATCCTCGGGTGTCAAAGCAAAATGCAGACTACGAGCCTTGTAAGTAATTAATTGGACTGTATCGTCCAGAAAGCCATATGTATTAATGCGCTTTAACATTAGGATTCTGATGGCATGGTAAAACAAAGCCCCTACTATCAATGTCACAATTATGGTTAGCCCATGCTACAATCTAGTTGTTTTTCTGATAACCTCCCTCTCGGAGGACATGGAAAGATGAGG